TTCGCCGGAACTCCATCTTCATGTATTAATGCAGAAATGATCTTTTTTGTGGTGATCTTTAGCTTGTTTCTCTCATCATCAAATTTTCTGTCAATATTGAAAGTTATTGTATAATATCAAGGTCCGGAATTTGGTCCGGGATCAATTTTTGTATTTAGATAAACAAAAATTTATTTATAAATTAATTTAATTTAATTTTTGGTAGAATTTATTGAAAAAATAAGTTAGCGATGTAATCGAAAATAATTTTGAATTTGGGTTTGAAGAGTGTTTTTGAAAGAAAAATTAGAAATAGATGATCAAAGTGCAAATAGAAAAAACTGACGAACCAGAGCACGCCATGTGGCAAGACATGCTGACGTCGGTGCCACGGAAGCAATCCGCATGTCCCACGATCAGATGGCTCAGGATCGATCCCGCGCGCGTGGATGACTCATGTTTGTTTCTCCCTTAATCGCGATCGGACGGTTCAGATTCATTTCCTCATTAAGCGTGATCGGACGGACGAGATCGATCACGATAGATGACCCAGATCAATGCGGGATGAATATAAATATTTCGCATCACACAAAAACCCAAACCCTAGTCACCAGCCCCCGCAAGAGAAGAAAAATCAGACACTAGAGAAGGAGACCGACCGCCGACCGTCGCTGCACCGGAGTCACCGCTGGCCGCCGAAAAAGGTAAAAATTTTTTCTACTTGCTTATAATTCGATTCCGAGCACCTCTGTGGCCAAATCGGAGCAAAAGGGACGGCGGATAAGCCGAAAACCGCAGATAAAGCTCGGCGGAGCCATCACGGCCAAAACTCCAAAACCCCTCCAATGAGCCCCTTCCTGATTCCTGTTTCACGTAATTTTTCGATCATTATGTTCACCGTCCTTTTCTGTATAGATTAGCCGAAGAAAGAATCTCAGTTGTAAAGGAGGATCGGCGGAGCCGTCGCACTCAGAGGTCTCCTCCGCTGGTAGGTTTGGTTTTTTTTGTAATTTTTCGGCCAACTAAGGCCCCTAACGTGTTTTTCTGCTGGGATACGGCCAAAATTGGCTAGGTTGAAGCAAACTACCGTCGTAGGCGGCAGAACCGACATCGAAGCACGGCGGCAGCGCCATGCTGAAACCCCAAAATTGGCTATAATAAATTTTAGACACTGATTTTAGATTTCTGTGGTATTTTTAGATATGTGACGAGTGTTTTGAATTTCGTAGAAAAAATTCAGGAAATCTGGTAATCGTTAGGAGATGTAGTAGGCAGAGCGACGTCTCGAAACACCAATCCAGGTAAAGATCTCTCATCATATTTTTCGTTACGGTAAATTGAGGATTAACAATGTATAATTTTGTGTTTTTATGAAAAATTAGAAAGCCCTAAAAATAATTATAAGTTACTAGTGGAGCCAAAACCGATTAGTGCACATTTATCTTAATTCCCAGTTTATTTTCGTGTACTGCCTAAATTGCTAATT